GGGTAGGCAGCCGCCTAGAGAACCCAGTCTTTCCCTATCCTCATGGGATAATCCTAAGTCTCCATCTTCTTAGATTCTCCACCCTTTACCATTCATCTTTTCACTCACTGTTGAAGTAAGTTGATCGAGTAACCAAATTCATGTATGTGAATGAAACAGATTTAGAGACCTATGACATAAAATTTCTAAGCTCAGAGCCAGGCGTCGGGGAGCATGCCTTTAATCCCAACAGAGGCCAGTGGATTGTTGTGAGTTCAAGGCCAGCCTGGAGTACATAGTGAGTTCAGGTCAGCTGGGACTACAGGGAGACCCTGTCTCCAAAAGACCAAAAAAACAAACAAACAAAAAAGTTTTCATTTCTCTGAACCAAAGCAGTTTATTTATGGTAAAGAATAAATAAATTTGACTATTTACTTAGTTTATCTCTACAGGAAAACACTGAGTGTAAACTTGATACTGCTGACTTTTTATTTCTTTGTTCTAGGTGTGTCAGATTTAGGCTACATTAAAGGGCTGTTTACAGTACCTCTCATTTTCCCAAGTGGCCAACTGTTTACCATTTTTTAGCAGATTTTCTCCTAGTATAACTACAGAAGGATGATAGCCATAAACTCATTCCAGTAGTGTTCTGGTATGTAGATGGTTCCTTTTTAGAAAAGATGTTTCTATTTTTGAGATCAGTCCATTTCAGTTTGTTATTTTGTCTTTGAATTCTAAATATATTTCTCCCTTTCTTGTTTTTATTTCCTCTAGTTTTAGAACAAATATCTTCTGGAACTCTTTTTATGAAAGGAATATCTCCTATAGCAGGAATTTCTTTAACTAATTTTACTTCACCAGAAATGAATAATAACCTTGTGAATGCCTGCATTATTAAAGTTGGAACACGGAGCCCCATCTATGAAGTTCCAGAGCCGTGTTTCTCTTAGTGAGTTGCTAGACTATGAAGAAGATTAGTTCCTATCTTGTTGTTGAACACTAATTGTAATTTCTTACTTTGATCATATCTTGATCATATCTTGATCATATCTTGATTTTTGCTATTGCTCAACTTTTAGATTTATAGTGCTATAATTGGATGAGAGGGATCTACATGTGAATCCCGGTTTGTTTTTTCACTGGCAATATGATTTTTGGCAAATTAACCTCTTTAAAGTTCAGGTCCTTCATTTGCAAGATGAGACTGGTGGTACCTACTTCCGATTATTACGAAAATTAGGTGAGACTCTATTTGCTCAGTGCTTTATAGGGCCTGGCACATAGAAATACTTGTTAGCTAGTAGAAAATGTGTGGGAATGTGCAGAAGTGTTAGCAAAGCCTTTTTAAAAAATGTTATTTATTATTTTTATTTTATGTGTACTGTCTGCATATGTGTAAGTACACTCATGTTCTGCAATGCCCGTGGAGGTCAGAAGAGGGTGTTGGATCCTTTGGAAGTGGAGTTACAAGATGATTGTTAGCTACCATGTGGGTCCTGAGAATCAAACCTAGGCTCTGTGCAGCCAGTGCTCTTAACCGCTGAGCCATCTCTCCAGCCCCAGAAACTTTTTTTCTATCAGAGTAACCTGTTTTCCTCTGTCTTTCCCCACAGTCACTTAACATTGAGAGCCAGTTTTATTTTTTCATGTTAGCGTACTATTTTATTACAATCTAGGGTTGTCTTACCTTTTAATTACAAGTGTGCATGCCATTTACATAATTGCTTGTGTGTATGCAACTTATAAAATTTAGTCTCAAGCACATTATTTTGATGTAGTAGACATAGCATTATTTCTTGAATGAAACTCAACTTTTAGATTTAGAAATAGTTTTCAGGTTGGCAGTTACAGAGTAGATTGCCTATTTCTCCTACATTCACCTGTCCTCTGTACCTTTGGTTTATTTAGGATCCCTGTTTGTTTTTATACTATGCGTTAGCATTTTGATTAGCTGTCCTTGACATTTAAGGAAAATGGGTCTTTAGCTTTAAGAATTCAATCTAATCATGGCACTCCTGAGCTCTTTTTAGTCTTTTTTTGAGTACTTTGTTCCTCATTCTTATTTTGTGCCCCAAAGTAGTACAATTATTTTATAAGTTATTCCTATGAGCTAAGAAATAAGCTTAGTTCTCTTCTGTATAGTTTTTGGAAGTTTTAGTAGTTTTTTGCAACTTTATTATCCTACATTTTCTGGCTAAACCAAATGCTTTGATGATGGTTCTTAGTGCAGTCAAAATTATTGTACTGTCATTTCTATACCCTAGAGTAAGTTCCCTACAGAAATGCCCAAGCATTATATGTCAGCTGCAAATTCAAGAATGTTCATAGCAGCAGACTAGTTCAAAACTACAAACAACCCAGAAGATCTAATTTAGTACAAGTAATAAATACACTATGATCATGGGTGAAAGAAACCTGATAAATAAGTACACACGCTGTAGTATTCAATTTATAGAATGTTAAAAAACTATTCGAATTATATTTATTCATATGTACTTGGATTGTGTCATGAAAGAAATGTGAAGTTAGGCTTGGGAGATGGCTCAGTTGATAAAGTGATTGCTGCACACATGTGAGCACCTGAGGTTCCATTCCTAGCATCATCAATGTAAAAAGCTGGCCCTAATGGCACCCTTAACCCCAGGGCTGGAGAGGCAGAGATAGGAAGATCCTGGGCTTGGTGGGCACCCTGTGTAGCCGATATTTATTCATATGTACTTGGATTGTGTCATGAAAGAAATGTGAAATTAGGTTTGGGAGATGACTCAGTTGATAAAGTGATTGCTGCACACATGTGAGCACCTGAGTTTTGATTCCTAGCATCATCAATGTAAAAAGCTGGCCCTAATGGCACCCTTAACCCCAGGGCTGGAGAGGCAGAGATAGGAAGATCCTGGGCTTGGTGGTCACCCTGTGTAGCCGAATCAATGAGCTCAAGGTTCCGTGAGAGACCTTGCTTCAAAAATAAGTTGGTGGGCAATTGAGGAAGGCACCCAGTGTTGATCTCTGGACCCCACATGCATGTTCATACATGTGCATGCATACCCAGACATGAACACGTACATATATACACCAAAAAGGAAGGAGGAAGGAATACAATAAGTAAATATAAGAGTAAGTATTATAAAAGTCAGGTAGTAGTTACCTTTGTAGGGGAGAGAGGTTTTGACTAGAAAGGAGGATCTGAAGGGCTTCGGAGATTGGTAGGAAGGTTCTGTTTCTTAAGTTGGCCTGTAGTCACACAGAAATTCACTTAATAAAAGTTAGTCTGTATACTTGTACGTGTTACTTTTCACAATAAATACCTCTGGCTTAAAAATGGAAGAAAATAGCCAGGTGTGGTGGTACATGCCTGTAATTCTAGCACTGAAGATGCCGAAACAGGAGGATTACAAGTTCTAGGCCAATGTGGCCTATATAATGAGACCCCATCTCAAGGAAAAGAGGAGGAGGAGGAGGAAGAAGGGCAGAAAGAGGAATAATAATCTCTCTAGAGTAACACACACAGACACACCCACACACACACACCCACACCCCAAACACCAAAAACACCAAGTATGTCTTTAAAAAGAAAGACTTTTCTTTTTCACTTGTGTCCCATTATAGCTTTTTCAAGATCTGAAGTTATGTTGCATGAAAATTCTTTGAATCTCTGATTGGGGCTTGGAGGGAAAGGTAGGGTCAGAAGCAGGGATCTGGTTTTCATCTCTTCGTATTATATGCATTGTAGTAGTAATTTTTAAAGAAAAGATTTCTCAAAGCTGAGAGTTTTGAGCAGTAATGTAAAATTTCTTGATAGGTGTTTATAATTTTTAAAACAATTGGTACTCCTATCATCAATGTATTTGAGAAAGACCAGAAAAATTACATTCATATAATTAGGCAGCTGTGAATTCCTACTATGTGTCATATTTGTGTTGGGAGTTATTAATAAGATAGCTCCTCATTCTAATAAGCTAAATTTCTGCATTATCACATTTATCCTGTAATCCTGGTACACAGTTAATATTTGGCAGATTTATTACATTCCTCCAAGTAGTTCAGTGTCTTGAAGAACGTAGAGACATATTGAGCAGTTGCAGAATCCTATCAGAGATATAAGGACAAGGGAAGCTCAGAGAAGAGGGAGGGATAGCACAATCATTTAGGAGAAAGGAGGAGAATGGAAATTCAGCTTTAGACATGATGAGATTAAGTCTCTGTGGGATTTCTGGTTGAAGATATCTGAAAAATAGAGGAAGGTTCTGGGAACTAAACAGAGAGTGTGTTAGACTTGCTATCAGCATTTAGAAATTATTCAAATGCTAGCAGTTAAAGTTGTGAAAAAAGGATTTTTTGTCATTAGCATAATTTTTTTTAAGACTAACACACCTTTAGATTATAGTGAAGGAAGAAGAAGGCAGGGAGAGGCCCAGAAGGGAGGAGTGAGCAGGGCATGGGAGGGAACAGGTGGTGCCCTGGAAGTAAAGCGTTTCAAAGAGGGAGTTGTAAACTGATTAAGTATGAGTGAACCATTTATAACAAAAGACTTACTAAAGATACAGGGTGACAAGGACAGAGAAAATGGGAGAGAAGACTACAGCAAATCACTTGGAATAGACTAAAAGATAAATTAGCTGTAAGAGAGTTGGGGTTCTGTTCTGTTTTCTAATGGGCTGAAGGGAGTAAAAACAAAACATAAAGCAAGATAAATCTATAGCTCGGGGATACCGAATGCAGTAGTACCGCTCAGAAGAGGAGTTCATGGTAGTGTTTTCAAAGCAAGACTAAGTTTATATAAGAATACAGATACCGAAACTGACACGTAAAGGTTTCCTCTGAATGGCCTAGATTTTATTGCCTCACCTTGAACATGAAGAGAACAACAACGAAAAAATGTGATTCAGGGGAAAAACTACAACAACAACAAACCAACTAAAACCAAACCAAAAAAAAAACCAAGAGGAAAGTTTTTTAAGAAATGTATTCTTGTTCTGAAAAGATAGATATTTAACAAAGGAAACAAGGCAAACATGATATTATTTTAAACAAGGTGTGGCATGCAAGTAAGATTTTTGGTAAGTAAAATTGTGATAACAAATTCTTTTTTTTTTTTTTTTTTTTAAATGTCTTTTTTGAGACAGGGTTCCCTGTAGCCCCAGCTGTCCTGGAACTCACTATGTAGACCAGGCTGGCCTCAAACCCACAAAGACCTGTCTGCCTCTGCCTCCCAAGTGCTGGGATTAAAGGCATAAGCCACCACGCCCAGCGATACCAAATTCTTTTAAGTCAGTAGAAGGTTAAAAGAAGAAAGCAAATATTCCAGAAAGTAAAAATAATAATTTCTGTTTTTTTTTTTAAAGAAAAAAAGGAAAGTTTTTCAAAAATTAAGGATTTATCTTGAAGATGTAGCATGTGAATAATAAGTTCAAGTGTAGTGGGGGAGTGGAGTTGCAGGAGAGAGAAAGAATTCATCAGTAAAATAGAATATAGTGCTCCCAAATTGAAAGGTATTGAAAGTCTGTATTATAAATTGAAACGCTCAAAGCCGGGAGTGGTTGTGCATTCCTTTAAATCGCAGCACTCGGGAAGTAGAGGCAGGCAGATCTCTGTAAGATGGAGGCCAGCCTGGTCTACATAGCAAGTTCTAGGCCAGCCATGGTTATGGGGAGAACCTGTCTCAAAACAAAAACAAAAAATCAAAACAAAAGATATACTCAATGCTCAACGCAATACATTTTTTTTATAGGCAAGTGTTCTACCACTGAGCTACCTCCCCAGCAAACACAATGTATTTTGAAAGAACACAAACTAAATAATACACCAAATGTCATAAGCTGTGTTTTTCCATTTGTGTGAAATATCTAGAGTAAGTATATCCATCATGACAGAAAACTAATCAGAATCTACCAAGGCCTGGGGAGGGAGATTAGGGAGTAAATGTTTAATGATTATAGGGCCTCCTTTGGGTGATAAAAATGTTTTAGAGCTACTTAGAGATTTCGATAGTACTAACTGTTATGGAATTGAGCCTTCAGAATGATTGTTTCATGTGAATTTCCCCTAATTGAAAAAAGAACAGAAAAACAGCTGGACTGGGGATACGTAGCTCAGTGGTAGAGTGCCATGGGTCCAGTCCTCACTATGCGGGTTGGGGAAGAGAATATTTAAGAACTCTAAGGATAAAGAGATTCTGGAAATTTCCAGAGAGGGGAAAAATGATGGTATCATATTATATTAGTCATAGCAAGCCAAATTATAATATGTCAGTAAATAAACCTTCGAATCTTTTGTTTTTCCTCTTTCCTTCCCTCCTACTTTCCAGACAAGGAACTCTTAATGACTTAATTTGACAAGCATTTGTCACTCATGCATTTATTTTTACTCATGCTGCATGTCTTTGGTGGTGAGAACACTCTATGCCATATCATTATTCAGGAATAAAGGTTAATCCAATTTTACCATGATGTTGCTATCTCAAAACATGATTCTCACAACCCCTATTCTGGGGGTGTGAGGAGAGTGGTAGAAAACACCTATTCTTTCTTAAATGCTTTGACCCTGGCTACCGTAAGTCTTAGGGACCTTTTTCAGTGCTAGGGAATTAGGATATATAATCCTCCCAGTACTCAGAAAGGACAGGCAGATCAGTTATTGTTGAGTACCACAAAATTTTAACATGCGTACAGAGGAGCAGGAGTCTGATTGTCATTAGACTCACTGAAGTGGAAGCTAGGAAACAACAGTGCTTTAGAAATTCTGGTGGAAAATTATTTCTTGTAGAATTGTGTGTCTCATCAGACTATCAAATAAATATCAGGGCAGGATACTAATATTTCAGAGAAACAAAGTTCCAAAACATTTACCCTCTGTCCACTCCTTTCAGGAAATTATGAGAAAATGTTTTGATAAAACAAGGGAGTAAAACGAGATGATGATTTAGGATTGCAAGGTCAAGGAAGTTTACATAGGACACAGTTGAGACTAAAGCAGTAAAATTCAAAGACTAAGAAAAGCCAGGCATAGTTGAGCATTCTGTATTACTAGCATTTGGGAGGTTGGGGCCAGAGGATTCAGAGTTGGAAGTGAGACTGTTTTTTAAAGACCCTGTCTTTAAAAAACCCTAGGTGAAGGAACGGTTGGAGGTATACACCCGGATAGATGGCTTGTATGTATAATAATATCAAGAATTTTATGTTTCTGTGAGAACTTAGTCTGCAAAATAGATATATAAAAATTTTGTAAACTAAAACCTGAGGTGCTATAAACTCCTGAAATACCTAATATTGTATAAGGAAAGAAATATAGCATATTATACAACTCACATGTGAAATAATTCGTCAAGGTGCTAGAGAGATGGCTTAGTGGTTAAGAGCATTAACTGCTCTTCCAGAGGATCTGGATTTGACTCCCAGCACACACATGGTGGCTGACAACCATCTGTAACTCCATTTCCAGGGGGATCTGATGCCTCCTTCTGACCTCCTCAGGTAGTGCATGACACAAGTGCACTTAATGCAAACAATACATTCATGCACATAAGAAATAAAAACAATAAATAAAAAGTATTTAAAAAGAAATAATTATTCAGTAAAATATTAATTATAGAGCCAGGCACAGAGGTGCATAACTTTAATTCTAGCACTCAGGAGGCAGAGGCAGGTGGTATTGAGGCCAGCCTGGTCTACATAGTGAGTTCCAGGCCACCTTGGGCTACAGGGAGGAGATACTGTTTTGAACAAAACAAAACAAGCCCCCAAAAATATTAGTTACAGTTTGGCAAAATGTTACCCTTCTGAGGATGATATTAATAAAATATAAGAGCATAATCATGTATAAGCAATTTTTAATGAATGCCTAAAATCAGAAAAAATTTGATTGTGTGTATTATTCTAAAATGTAATGTAGTGGGTAGGCATGGTGGTGCAGTCCATGCTTGTTAATATCATCATATGGAACACAGAAGGTGCGATAGAAGGGTTGTGAGTTCCAGTACATCTTGGGCGCCAGAGTGAGACCTGTCTCAAAAAGCCTAAATAAATAAGGAAATAATACAAAGGAATATAAGTATTAGAAAAAATGGCTAAAAGTTCAAAGTTATTGCTCAGAGAAAGTGAATTTCAGGAATGGAGAAAAATAGAGAACAGGTTGTAATTTATATCTAGTAGGACTAATGCCTTTCAAAATAATCTAAATGTGAGCTGGACCCCATGACACAGGCCTATAGTTCCAGCTACTTGGGTGGCTGAAGGACGAGGTTTGCAAGTTCGTCTGCCTGGCCTAACAGAGATACAAGCCAGCATAGGCAGCTTAATGAGACCCTGTCTCAAAAAGCAAAAAGCGGGCTGAGAATATCACTCGGTGCTATGTGTTTGCCTTTTCTGTACTAAGCTCTAGGTTTAGTCCCCAGTACATCTCCCCACACCCACGCACATAAGAACCTATCTTTGTTTTTAAGGAAGTCAGAGATAAACGACTCATAAGAAATGAAAAGGAACCTTGGACGCAGGCAGCCAAGAGGTTCTGATGATGTTTATGTGATTTCAGTGACTGTGGAGGTGCACCAAATCGCAGTTGGTTGTAGAGTCACAGAACTGATTCAGTCACAGATTGAAGAAAATCAGCTGGCACATAGGGTTAAAGATGGGATATGCAGAATAGATATGTTATCTGCCACAGCAAAATGTAGCACACAACCTTGCACAGACTGTGAAGGTACATTGTGTTCTTACAGAGAATTCTCTGTAGAACACAGCATTACTTTTTTATTTAAGTAGTTAGCTCTTCTAAAAATCATTCATTTTCCTGAAATATGTTATGTAGTCACTTCTTCTGAATTATCAAGAAGGAAAAGTAGACTATTGGTCTGGCATAATTATTCTTTCAGCAAAATGCTTTCTCAGAATTCCTTTATTTCACTTCGATGTCTGTGATTTTAAGGAGGTTGCATTGTTTGTTTCCTCTGATTCCTTTATAAAAAGGTATAGACTTTACAATAGAGTGAAATCTAATGAAAATAGAAGGCAAATTGTTTTCTTACTCTCAATTTTCTGCACTAATTTAATTGCTTTAAAAAGTCCGAGTTCCCCTAGTTCCTCTTCCAGGTTCCAGCTTTTTGTTTAAGCTTGGTTGTAGGAGTAATGTATCATTTTTAAATTTGGTCATGGAATGTGTTACACTGCTCCACTCAGGGAAATGCGCCTGTGTTTGGGCTTGGATAGTAACGTTTATTTTCTTTGGCAGAGAAGCTGATCGTCCAGGGGCATCTGACCAAAGTGGTAGAAGAAACAAAGCTTTCAAAAGGTTTGTTTTCTGCTTTTTTCTATGGTGTTTGCAATTCTTTTGGATAATGAAGGTTTGTGTAAAATTTCAAGGTTGTAGTATGTTAACCATCAGTTTGTTTATCTATTTTAAGAAGAAATAGGAAAGGTTCTTTTAATGTAAGCCTTTATTATGTATTTTTTAAGTTAGTGCTTGTTATAGTTTTGGTTTTGATCTTTCTGTTTCATTTTTGCATCATTTTCAATTTGATCTCAAAAATTTAATCAACACAATGTAAACTTTATAATAGTGAAAAATACTTATACTTGAAATTTTACTTGCATTATTATGGTATCCTTAAATTCCTCATGCTACTCAATATTTCTTTAATTTTGATATCTCAGCTTGATTTAAACTAAAGTGATAACTTTTGCCATTAATAGTCTAGTAATTGCCCAAAGTAGCTTTTCTTTTAATTTTGGTTTTTCCTTTCTACAATTGTTAAACTCAGGAAGAAAGGAAAAAGAAAAGTAAGTTTTAAAGCATGTCAAGTTACTTTAAAGCATGGAAAAAATTAGGCAAATAAATCTGGTGGGATGCATTCTGATGAAACTTTCATCAGACTTTGCCAGCATAAAACTTAAACTAGATTCACAATCTTTCTGGTCTGTTGAAATAGTCATAAAAGTTGAGAAGAACTAACTACTTAAATAAAAAAGTAATGTTTTGTTAAAGTAACTGGGTTCTCTTGGCTTTTTACAGGTTTAAAAATATTCAGGTATCTGTTAGCTTCCATTCTGAATATTGTGCAGAGCAGATGCCATATTAGGTGAAATAATGCATTGAATATGCAACGCTAATATTGTTCTGGGAAACAGGCATTGGGTTTCAGAATAGCGAACTATTTTTAGTACATATGGCAGTTTATTTTACCTTATTAAAGTGAGATGAGAACAGATTTAAAATAGCCTTTACTTCACCACCTAAGTACCTATTCAGATTAGTTGGTTGAGTGGCTAGCACTTTGCAGTGGAAGCAAAGCTGGAGGAAGGGGTGATTGGTATTTCTTTCAGAGAGGTGCCTTGCTGCCTGTGGTCTGATGTATTCTGAATAGAGTATATTTGCTTAAAATCATGTGATATCATTGAAAAAAGTATATGCAACATTACAATTTTTTTAATCATGGCTATAAAATCACATGAAAGTTTTGAAGCACCTGTTTTTGATTCAGGAGTCCCACGTCCAGGGTTTCCTTTGTTTGCTTTTTGTTTTTTAAGACAGGCTCTCACTCTGTAGGCCAGGTTGGCCTTGCGTTCTTGTCCAAGTCCTTTGAGTCCTGAGATTATAGATATGAGCTGGATTTTTAATCTTACAGAACAAACTAGATAAATTTTAGGATTCTTTTTTCAGTCTTGTTTTAAAGGCAGCAAGAAAGCTCATGTGTCTGAAGGAAAGGTTGTTTATTGAACATATTATAGCAAATAAATCTACACAAATGAACTTAATTCATTTTTAGGAGTGATAACATAGAAAAAAGTTATAAAAGTTTTGTATATTCAGGGATTTTTCTGCCTGTAGTCAAGATTTTGTTAGCCCTTTTCAGTTTCCAATCCCGAGAGCAAACTAGAGGACTAAAATAAGTTACTTTTTAAATGTTTTCAATCTAACTATGAAATACTTTATTTTGAATTTGACTAAATTATTATTATGTTGCTTTTTTTAATGTTTTCTTGGTGGACTTTTCTTTTTTCCAATGAAAAGAACAGTTGTTAGAAATTAAATTACCAACCATTACCAGTCTTACTATTTCCTCTAGAAGTTTTGCCTCACACAGTATATCATGGTAACTTGCATCTACCTTCTGTTTAAGGATTAATTTATTGCCATTATGTATCTATAAACACTTTAGAAGTAAAATAGAAAGAATACAAATAGATAATTCCAATAACTATGTTCCTTCAGACAATTCATTTTAGTTCTTTAAACTTGTTTCTTCATCGTTCTTGGTATGTTGTGTGTATGTGTGTCTGTGTTATTATTGTTAGATTTTTTTTTTTGAGATCGGGTCTTACTATTCACCCTTGGCTAGTCTCAAACTCATGATCCTCCTAACTCAGTATCTGCCTCAGTGCTGGGATTACAAGTATGTGCCACCATACCAGAATTTGTATCTGGGACTCAAACCAGGTCTTCATGCTTGCGTGGAAAGCACTTTATACC